AAAAAAAGAGTGACTACCCTGGAAATTTTCATTCTACCAAGACGTGTGTCAACAGACCTTCCGTATGTTGGTAAGCAGTTTCATATGTTTTTCAGGCATCACAGCCTTAACAGCATCAAGCCCACATTTCCTGACTAGCATTTCTAGAAGAAACTTAACCTGAGATCAATTCAGGTTTGACCAGCAATTGATAAGAATTTGGGCAAGTTATCAAACCAACTGAACTCAATGACGTCAAAATTTAGTTGCAAGAAGGAAACAACCTTGGCTTTGAAGTGGGTTTTAGTAGCATCTTGCAACTTCAGCAAGCTTTCCACCATGCTTTCCAAGTGCAATTGCAACCTCTCGGTTTGTGATTTGGCCACTAATACCTTCCAGAAACCTAAAGTAGCCTGCAGTAACGAAAAGCCCAACGAAGAATAAAAAATAAATGAAAATATTTATATAAGATCAATTGAAATAACAAATCACACAACGATTTATTAAGCAGTTAACTCAAAATAATTAAATAACTCCAAAATGCTGATCTAAAAGAGAGGGGAACATACTTTAATTATTTCTTTGTTCTTTCTCTGGAGGAGGAGAGATGTGGATGGAAGCAAATTGCTAGCGGTTGAAACAACATCAGAAAACTCATAAGCCAACCGAGCTGAGCCCTTCATTGCAGCACTGATCATATGAGGAGTTTCACGAGCTATGCCCCCAGCTACCTGTGACCATAAGATCAGCTCAGACTTGCTGCATATTTATATATGAATTTCTACTCTGGTCCACAGAAGAGCAATGCAATTAAAGATGATTGAATCAGTAATAATCAAAAGGAGGAAGGGGGCAAAAGAGGTATCAGTAAATTTGATCTGTAATAACTGAGCAGTCTGAAACAATATTCAGTACCATGTGAAAAAATTTCAACAGGTCTTCTCTCTTCCCGCCTTTCTCTTCATCACCATAAGCATGCCCAATTTGGACAAGGATATCATAAGCTCTATTTCTTGTCTTATTGTGAGCCTGCATTGAAAGAAAAAAAATTCATTAACAATTCATATCAATCATAAAGTTTAGAAGCCGCAGCATGCAAGATCTTTTACCTCTTTCAATGCAAGAATT